TGAAATTTTGTGTGTTTCTAAAAAACAACCAGTCCTAAGTTGGCCCCCAGAGCAACAGAACAGTAATGAGAGGTTTCACAGTGACACATGCAATCCAGTTTAACACAGTAGTCTCATTAAGAACAGTGCTATTCATACATCACCTCTGCTCTTCCTCAATTACCACTCAAGTGCCTTGTAACGTAGAAGTCTAATCTTCTAGCATTATCCTCAAGGTGCTCTTGTGACTAATGTAAAAGGTGAATTTCCTACGCCTAGAGGATCCCACATGTAGCAGTTCACTTTGTTGATGTTTTTGTAAAGCCAACGTCAAAAACGTTTCTTGAAGTGGAAAGCATAAAAGTACTCCAAGGTGGTTTTGTTTTGTGCAAACCCAGCATTCTAGGGCAAGTATACCACAACTAAGCATCCTTAAGCATCATTTCAGTTTCCCAGCTATGGTCCAGTGCTGCAGGCTTACCCCAATTTAAAAATAAAAGCAAAAAAAATCCAAAGTTTTTTTTTACTCCATACAATAATGTAATTCAATAAATGTTTTTAATAAAAAGTAAATTATAGAAGCTGATTCATGTAAGAAAATAGAAAAACAGAAAATAAACACAGCTGTTCCCTTTTAGACACTGGAAACTTTTGGCCAAACTTTGCAACTTTGAAAACATTCTACAAGGTAAAAATATTTAACATTTAGCCACCAATTCACACATGCTCCAGTATATAAAGGCAAGCAAAAGACAACAGAAACAGAAGATACGTACTTAGCCCAGTCAGGGTAAAACCACCGACTTTTCATATTTGACAGCATTTCCTTTGCTATCCAATTGTCCATGACAACAATTGCAGATTGTCTGCACAGCGTCTATTGATGGAGTTATGGAAATGCAAGTACTACAATATATGAGCATTCTCTACAGTTTGAATAACTAATGATATCTTCTATCCAAGGCTGTGTCACAAATACAAAAGAAGAACCTTCTTCTAGGCCAAATGGCCCCTATCCCATTTTAAAACATAGTGATGGAAAGACTCCTGTTTCTTCACATATAGGTGACAGAAGGATCAGTTCTTCCTCATCAGCTCCCTGCTTGACAGTGCATGCTGTACTCAGGACACCCGAGCTTCCAAAACTGAAGTCTCTGATAAATATTCAGAAAAAGCTATTGGAAAAAAGCAGCTATTTGGTCACCACCTGCATGGCTATGACTCTGGAGAGCTGTGCTTTCCGATGCTTCTCACTGGGCTCTTCTGGAAGCTGAGTCATGGCAACTGGACTTTGTGCTTTCCGATGCTTCTCACCGGGCTCTTCTGGAAGCTGACTCATGGCAACTTCTTTCTTGAAATGCTGAAATGTTTCACTACTCATTTAAGCAGCTTCTTCGGTCTAATAAGAAAGAAGTCCAGTTGCCATGACTCAACTTCCAGATAACCTCACCTGGATGACTGAGGATCTTCACAGATACCTGGCTCTTCTTTGCCCTCCTTGAATCTGTACATCTTCTGCCATCTTACCTCTTCCCTTGTGTCCCCTTTACCCAATCTTTGCCTATTGTTGCTATTTTGCCATTTGTTTTAATGACAAATATGTTATTACAATGAAAGGGTGGAGGACTTAGCAGTATAGATGCAGTAAGCACTTCAACCAGACAGTACCATACCAGAGGATTTTCAAACGTGTTCCTGACCTGAAAGAGGAGTCTTCAAGACTATCTGGGATCTTTCAGATCTGCTCCTGTTGTGAGAGACAACATCAGGGTATGCTTAGAACTGTGTGCTATAGTGACTGTCTCAAGAGTTCTGAAATGGTTTTAAATGCTACCAGGATCCAAATGAAAGGTTGATTCTATCATATTCAGATGTCTTGAACTGTCTTTATTATGGACCTTAATCTGCCGGAGGGACCTTCCAGATATTTTGGTCTAAAGTTTCTAAAATCCCTTAGTTTTGTCTATGCTAGATAGTGCTAGTGGGATTTATACAACTGACACATAATATAGGTAAATAGAAGTTGTAGAACTTAAATATAATTATACAGTACTGACAAAAACTATTAATAGCAGTTGCCCTCTCTCTTCTGCTGTCTGTATCTTAAACCCTGGGTCATTGTTCTTTGTATCTAATTGTCAATTACGTATCTGGTTTTCATCCCTGGAAAGAAGATTGGGCACAATCTTTCTGTGAAATAGCAGTTCAGTAGGAGATTCCTCCAGAACATGAAGCAGTCCCAACTCTGTGGGTTAGAGAGTGCCAATCCAAGTCCTTTATCTTCAGTTCTTGAAGTTAGACCAAAAAAACACACAAAGGTTTTGTCCTTAGTTCTTCCTCTATAAAATATGAAATACAATCACTCCCAAAAATCTGCAGTATGTCCTGCCTAGAAGGTATAAATTTAAACTGGCTTATTGCAAACTGTAAGAGAGTACCTATTCTACAAATAGTAGTCACTTTTGTCAAGTGGAAAAATGTAAGCTGTATGTTTTTGTAGTGTATTAATTCAATAAAATGTTTAAAAATGTGAAGTTTGTTTGTGACAAGGATTCTTGAAATGTCTCTCCAGTTCCTTTGAGTGGTTCTACTAGAGTCTAAGACAGGAGATAAAAGTATGTAGCGCATGTGTTCATCTCAGAATGCTTTGCTGTGTTAATGAAATTTCTGGTTGAAAAAGTTAAAATTTCCGGTCAGAAGTGGTCTTCCTTAAAAGAATTTGCCATAATTTGCAAATTCAATTATTTTGTTTTCTTATTGGTCTTTGGCACATAAGCACATTATTCCTTCCTAGCTTTGATGCCTGAGACAACAAAAGGCGCATCAATTATGTCTCGTCAACACAATCCTGATTTCAGCTGTCGACAAGTTGCTTATCTTGTTATCTTAGTTTGACCACTAGAGGGTGTGAGGGAACTTTTTCAGTTAAAAACGAAACTTGAAAGAAAAACATTTTTTTGCAGTGCATAGGGTATGAGGGCAAGTGCTGTCTTAGGAGGTGATTCTCATACTTCTAGAGACTGCCCATCACATCACTATAATAAACCAGTTTGGCTCAAAGAGAAAGAGAGCAAGAATATCACACAAGTAAGCATCACATTATTTTCACACTCCTAAAAAAGAGCACTGGGAATGTCTTAACAGAATGTCCATTGCAGCAGCAAATACATATACTGTAAATCCTTCTCTGAAAATTAGCTTTGTATCGTGGTTGATAATGCAACAGACAGATTAAAACCTATGATAATCGAAGGTGTAGATGTCTGTTTTTTTTGAAGTCCCTTCTCCCATTCACTCCAGATTGAAAATAAAGTGGAGAAAGTGTTATGTGAATTGTCATGGTGGCTTCTGGCACCATACAAATGCATCACTGAAAGGATGAGTAACTCACCTGTCTTCTTTTGAAGGTTTGGAACCATGTGATAGGAATCAACATTTCTGGACAGAGGTGCAATAATTTACAATGGAACAACTGGGTTTTCTACAGTACTATATTCCCTTCCATTTTAAGACATTTTGCTGTTTAGTGTTTGATCTAGTTTTAAAATTGATACCCAAATAATACTTACACTTAGATTTATTGTATTTATTTAATTGTCCGAACACTCATTTGTCAGCTGGTGTAGCTTAGTGGGTTGAACTCCAGAGGCTTGGAGTTCAAATGCCCACTGTGCCTCCCCGGGAAAGGGGCCGGTTAAGATCATCCAGAGTGTGTTTGTGGTGTAATTATGTGCCGTGCCACTAGAGCAGCTTTGGACAAGTGGCACAGTTCTTAGGGCACCATCCAAAGGAAGGGACTGGTAAAGCAACCCTGAACCTAAAAACTTTAGGAAGATCATGGTAAGTAAGAATTTACTGAAGGCATTTAATTTAATTATGGTTAATTACACTTACATGCTCAATTCATGATAAAGAAGTAGTCATTCTAACGTCTATCATACTCTCTGCTGGCAAAAAGAAAGAACTGTATAAATCTTCCCTTTCATTTGTTGTCTTTTTTGGGTCAGTTTCTAGATTTTAAATTCTTCCGATAAGGACTTTCCTTTAATTCTTTGGAAACTGTTGTGTACAGGGACAGATATAATCCCCCTTCTCATCAGCAGTGCCTCTCTGTTTGGAGTTAGCCTTAAAAAATAGTGTCCATTCACACCAGTGGAGACTTTGAAATAGCTTGTTCTCAGTGGGAATAGGGGGAAATGGGAGGATGGAAAAATCTCCATACTGTAGTAGGAACACACCGTTTTGGGCATGTTGGCAGTTATTTGCTATTTCACTATTTCATTTCACTTACCTTTATACTGAATCCTCTCCAAATACAGTCCTCCTCCCTAACTCCTGCAAAAGAGACTTTCACCTTTGGTTCTTCTCATTTTCTCAAACCTGACACGCTACACCCTAAAATTAGATAACACGACCATGAGCCTTCCTTCTCATGATCTACAGGTGTTTAATCTGTTTGTCAGAATACCATGAAAATAGAAATTACTCAATCAACAAGTGGATAATAGATTATCTCTATCTCGCAGGCACATACATACACAAAAGAGCAGGAAGAAATGGCAACAATTAGCACCAAACAAAGTATGAACACCCCTGGAGAGCCATTGAGTTTTGTAGATGCACAAGCTCTTAAAAGAAAATTCCATTACACACCCTCAAAACAGCCCAGTGACGTGTGAATATGCTCAGAAGAGCAGATGTTTACTGACTGACCAGGGTGGGTGGGTAGGGCTGGGAGTGGAGACTGGGCAGGAATAAATAAGATGAAATAAGCTGGAACCTTGAACAAAATCTTCCAACACTGCAACATTCTGTTGCAGGTCTCACTTGTTCTCCTCTACTGGAGTGCAAAAACTAACACATAACTTTAGGTAAGGATGACATAAATATATTTGAACTGGGGGAATACTACAGGAACCAAAATGGAGCCCATCAACAAAGGAATATAGACATAGTATGATCATTCTCAACACAGATTGTACATATATAATCGGTTGTAATCAACAAATCACTCAATACACTGAAACACAATATTCAGTTTATTTCCCTTGGTCAAGCCAATTGATTCATCAGTAGGTAAATATGCAACAAATAAGAAATCTCGGAGGAGGGGTTGTTTTGTTTTTGTTTTACTACATTCGAAAGGGATAGTAGAAAAAAATTAGAGATATTTTTTCACTATACAAAAAGTCTGAAAATTGCAATGACCCATAAGGTGAAAAAAATCCTCCACCTGAAGATGCCAAATGCCATTAGCACCAGATTCTCTGTCTAACAAAGCAACAATAGAGTTATTTATAGAATTATATACAGCAATAGGGAAAATCCCTTTACTGGCTCCTTTTAGAAAGTTTGCCAACAAAGCAAATTAAAAAAACAATAACAGTGGGTCAGGCAAGTTGAAGGCGGAGATTAAATACCACATTGTGAAAAGGATAATATAATTTACACATCAGTTTCCATATTGCTATCTTCAGAAGAATTATATGATGGAATTCAAAGTACTGCATACTTATTGAAGTTATATTCAAAGTTCACATACACAATCAGAACTGCTACAATATTTTTTTAAATAAAAAAGGAGACAGGTAAAAAATGACATCTGACTGAAGTGAAAAATAGTGTAGTTTAACTTGGCTATATATTTACAGAACAGGAAAAGGATCCTAAGATAAAATTGAACTATTATTCTAATATTGGTTGGAATGATGAGAATTTGCCAGAGGTCTAGTAGAAATGCTTGGGCTGGTGTGACTAGGACTTTTAAAAGAATACAGGCCCATGAAGGAGTGTGTATGAACATGAATAATTAAGAACCTTCCACTTAAGAGTTAAGGCTCGAATTTTTACCTGGCAGTAAGTCCCATTGAACTGAGTAGGGCTTGCTCCTGAGTAGACTGCACAGGACAGCACTATAGGTTTACTTGCAAAGGAATACTTGATTACACAGAAACAAGGGGCTGGATTCAATGATCCATAGGGTCCCTTCCAGCTCTGCACTTCTGACATTGACGGTGGTGGTGTTTAGACCAAGAACTTTAACACCTAAACATCTTTCCTTCTGTGCTATATTTCCCCAAATGATGAGAACAATGGAAGGAAAATCCTTTGTTTAAAGCAAAAGCAAAGCGTGCTGCTTATATTTGCCCTATAGTGCTTGTTTACATTCAGATTAAGTTGTAAGTATCCAGAAAAAAAGGTCTCTCTTTTTGATATCATCTAAACCAGACTTGTATCTCAAAGAGGGTACTATGGCAGATTGGTTTAAGACTGAAGTGCTGAGTAAATAATGGCATAACAGTTATTCTCATTACAACTTAAAACAGATTTCACAGACAAAATAAGGTTTCCTTTCATCTGTCAGAAATGTATGAAAGGAAATATGACAGATCAGTTCACTAGCATTTGTTATGACATCCTTCTAAACATCAAATATGGTTTAAGGGTATTTTTTTTAACAGACAGTGAAAATTTTTATTTTAAGACAGCAGTATTAATATTTCACTGCTTCTAGCAGTCAGCTGTAAAATTTAACTCTTTTGCTATTACATGGTCACTTGTCTGTGTGAAAAGACACTCACTCTGCCATTCTTTAAATCTAAGAGTCGTGTAGCTATGAATAAAACTGAAGTACATAAGGAAAACAAGAATACTATGCTTCTTGCAGAGGTAAGAAAAAGCTGGAGTTGTCAGCACCAAGGAAAGGATGCATGTAATATAAAAAAACAGGTAGCTTTGTAAAAAAAATCCTATTAATCTGGTATCTGAAACCCTGAAATCCTGGAAACTAGGCACAAAGGAATCCTGGTTGTGACCTGCAGATATTAAAGTCAGGTCTTTTGTTACTTCATTCATGCAAGGCAGAGGAGCTGAATGAAACTGTTGCCTCTTGCCCCCAAAATTCTCCAGTCTGGTACCCTCAGATGCAAGGAAGGCACTGGACTAGGGAAGACTGCACCGACACATTAAAATCATATTCCCACATAAACACATAATTTCCTAGTGTGTTTGGAAGTAGTTTTATTATAGATTGATAAAAGGGTTTACTTATCCAAACAGTTATGACATAATTTTTGAAAAGGCAGATGTTATGCAACATTTCTTTTAAAAAATGGATCTAGATGCGTAAATCTGAATATGCCCCTATAGCATATAGCTTACCAGCCTAAACAAAAGTCTCTTAAAAAGGCCAAACATCTTCAGTGTTACTTTTCGAGGGATCCATTGCAACCCATAGGTATGGATCTGAAGAGAACAGAAATCGGACCTGTATCATGTCTTTAAAACAACCACTCCTGCACTCATTCATATAAAACTGCAATTGACTTAGTTAACATATTGAGCTACTGCATGGAACTGAACATCTGCAGAGGCTTCTAAAGGTTGTGTGATAAAGGAAACCCAAAGCAGTTTCAAAGTATTTGTAAAAATGCAAATAAACGCACTTAGAAACATATCCCAACATTATTGCTATTGTGACCTTAATTCTTTTGAGGAGCTGTTCTCAATGGCCAGAGAAATTGCATATGCATAATGGCTGCCCAAGACCTCCCAGGCTTCCACATGAGGCAAGTGTCATTTGGGCCTTTCAGGTTGAAGGCTCTCAGTCAGACACTTGAGTTGCTCCTCCCCAAGCTTGATCTTGTCCTCCAGCTCCCGCTGCTCTATAATGAGGGCTGACTTCATTTTGACAAAGTGTTCATAATCAGCAAGGCTTTCATCACTCAGGTAGTTGGCCAAGATGTCAAAGACAATGCGTTCCCTTCTGTCGAGGTTTTCCTTCAGTTCCTTTGCATCTTCATGCTGTTGTGTGAGCAACTTCTGCTTGTCTGCCAGGATACGCTTGAAGGGAAGACAACAACATAATTCAAATTATAATTTGCTCCTACTCAATCTGACCCCTCTATTTTGATAAAATCTGTTCATGGGGGTGTACTGTTAGAGCAGTACAACAATGGAACCAATTACCTCAGGAGGTGGTGAACATTCCAATCCTGGAGGCATTCAAGAGAAAATTGGACAACTATCTGTCAGATCTGCTTTGATTTGGATTCCTGCATTGAGTAGGGGGTTGATTCAATGGCCTTATAGACTTCTTCCAACTCCATTATTCTATGATTTTATGATTCTACCCAATTTTATGCAAGATTTCCATTCATACATTTTCCTTCCTCTCTTCCTGTCCCTCTCCCTGCTCTGAACATTCTCCTATCTCTGTGGAGGTAAACATGGGATTTGTAGTGAGCAAGGGGATATTTATTTTAGCTAGCAGATGCTGTTCTGCTGGAGGACGGACAAAACTAGGTTCCACGTGCAGAGAGCTGAACTGTTTATCAATGCAGAAGGGGTTTTCTTCTAAAACTTCATATGCAAGTATTTGTATTTGAAGGGATAACCCGCCTTGGGATGTGGTGGCACTGCGGGCTAAACTGCAGAAGCCTTTGTGTGCTGCAGGGTCAGAAGACCAGCAGTCGTATAGATTTCCATTAATACATTTTCCTTCCTCTCTTCCTGTCTCTCTCCCTGAAATCTGCTCTGAACAGTCTCCTATGTCTCTGGAGGAGAACATGGCATTTATATTGAGCAAGGGGATACTTATTTTAGCTAGCAGATGCTGTTCTGCTGGAGGACGGACAAAACTAGGTTCCACGTGCAGAGAGCTGAACTGTTTATCAATGCAGAAGGGGTTTTCTTCTAAAACTTCATATGCAAGTATTTGTATTTGAAGGGATAACCCGCCTTGGGATGTGGTGGCACTGCGGGCTAAACTGCAGAAGCCTTTGTGTGCTGCAGGGTCAGAAGACCAGCAGTCGTAAGATCGAATCCACGCGACGGAGTGAGCTCCCGTCACTTTGTCCTAGCTCCTTGCCAACCTAGCAGTTCGAAAGCATGTAAATGCGAGTAGATAAATAGGTACCACCTCGTTCCGGGTCTAAGTCGCGCTGGCCACGTGACAATGGAAACTGTCTTCGGACAAACACTGGCTCTACGGCTTGGAAACGGGGATGAGCATCGCCCCCTAGAGTCGAACACTGACTATAATGTCAAGGGGAACCTTTACCTTTACCTTAGGGATAACATAATTATCAACAAGAACATATCAAATATTTAGATGCTGTAACATTCAACCTGCATGTGCTTAACACTTCCACAGCCACATGCAGAGAGCTGAACTGTTTATAAATGCAGAAGGGGTTTTCTTCTAAGACTTCAGATGCAAGTATTTGTAGGGCTATAGGGATAACATAATTATCAAAAGGAACATATCAAATATTTCGATCCTGTAAAGTTCAACCTGCATGTGCTTAACACTTCCACAGAATTAAATTGAGCTTCAAAGTGTTTAATTTTGGTTGGCTTAGGCCTAAAATTGAAGGTGCAGAGGGAGCCCTCTCTAATCCCAATTTAGAGATATCAGGCTTTTTCTGTCAATGCTGATTTCCTAAAAAGTCTACCATATGTGCATATTCAATTCTGTAAATATCATATCTTTCAAGACAACCAGAGTAAGAGGACCCCAGTACTAATGGGTTTAAAAGGTCAGTTAATTAAAATTACTTTCATTAGAGGGAAGAGCAGAAACAGGAAGAAAAGAATGCAAGAAATAGTCTAACAGTTGTTTGTATCATCGAGAAAATCTGCCTGTAAAACAAAGCCAGATATCGGATACTGCCTCTTCCACAAACAGAATGGGGGCACAAAGTGTTGCACCCTACCCGCTCTTCAGGAGAAGCATTTTCATCCAGATTATTCAAAGCATTTTCTACACGAGCCAGCCGGCCAGAGAGGGACAGTAAGAGGTTGACCACTTTGTCTAGGTCTCCAATAAACATCCGGAATTTGTCAAACTCATTGGGCTTGCAGACATCTTTCACAGTGGCCTCCACATCCTCTCCAAGCAGATTGTTGGCTTGGATGTCTTCCAGCAGTGTCTCTCGAGCTTCTCGCAGGACCTGAAGTTTTCGACTTATGCTATCTATAAGTTCTTGCTAAGAAGGGAAAAAACAGGAACACATGTTCAGTTGACACAAACATAAAGTGACTCAGCTGTCTGAGACAGAAAACAATCAAATGGAAGCAGTATCTGGGACATAAGATATTCTCCTTGGTGTTATAAGGAACAGTGGCTTTTATTTTTTTAGTATGATCTATGTTACGTGGGCAAGATCCAGTCCCTAGTTCCAAGTAGAATAGAGTGAGTAAATGGGATTTGCTAAATCAACCTTAATGTAAAATGTATTAATTCAGTGGGTTTGCTTCAGTTGGACGCGATGTTGCCCACATTTTGAACTGGGTCCAAATTCAAGCATGTGCAACCTGGCTAGTACAAGCAGACTTTCCCACACCACCGTCCCCACAACAGCCCCTCTAGCCCCCCTGAAAATGCTACATTGGATGGCCTGTAGATTTCCCCAGTGAGTGCTTTCACGGGAGGGGGACCCTGGAAGCCTGACAGCGGCACCTTCAGCAAGGGAGTGCTCTTCCATCTCCAAAAGACAACTGCTGGATCCAACTCATTAATTATAACGACAAGCTACAGAAGATTACATGCATCACTCCATTTCAATAAAAAACATTAAAACAGAATAAATGCCCTGAATATCATTTTGGTAAGGAGTGACTAGGTGTAACACGAATGACTCTGTTTGTTACATAGTTACCCATTAAACTGGGGGAGTCATTCTGACTGTACTGTTTTTGTTGTTCTTGCCTGTTGTCAAGTCAGAACCAACTTACAGCGACCCTAAGAGGGTTTTCAAGGCAAGTGAGATATTTAAAGGACTGGTTTTACCAGTTTGACTCCCCAGTCAGTTTCTATGGCTGAGTTCAGAGTCAAACCTTGTTCTCCAGAATCCTAGTCCGCTGCTCTCGTATCCATTACACCAGTGGTCCTCCAACCTTGGGCCAAGAGATGTTCTTAGACTTCAACTCCCAGAAATCTTGGACAGCAGAGGTGATGGTGAAAGCCTCTGGGAGTTGTAGTTCAAGAACATCTGGAGGCCCAAGGTTGGGGACCCACTGCATTACACCACACTGGGAAGCTGTATTGTATTTATACTCTCCTATTCTACTCAGGTTCATTTCCATTGAAAGTTACTGCAGAGTCCAAAAGATTAAAGTGATAAGCAGTTCTAGTGATGTATATTCTACTGAATGATTAATCTGAAGGTCTGATTTTCAAAAAGCTAAATGCAGATATGAATTGGATTAACTAGGTCAAAATGCAATCTTGTTTCTCAAGGACGCAACTTGCTGCGACGGCCATGCTGTTCTAGTATGTGGCATCCATTAATACAGAAATGTTTTGTACTTCTGTAATCTGTATGCATTTAATTACAGCAGGCTGGCAAAAATCTAACAGCTTCCTTAGACTTAAGATGGAAAGGAGAGATAGAGTTGGGTGTCATGCACATGCTGGTGACACTGAATTCCAAAACTCTAGGCACACTCTTCTAGCAGATAAACAGCATGGGGACAACACAAACTAGAAATGGGCATGAACTGCTCATTCAGAGGTTTGTGCTGGTTCATTTTTCAGACAAACGAGTGTTCAGTGGTTCCTGGTCCTGCCTCTTCCAGTGGGTGCCCAGCCAGAGGCAGCAGCCAGAGGAGGCGGGGCAGGGAAGCCAGGGAGCTGCCTCTGAGGAGGTGGGGCTGAGAAGCGTCAAACACCTGTTTGGCAAAAAAATGAACTGACATGAACCACCAAACTAGCAGTTCATGGCCATCTCTAAACAAAACTCTGAGAAACACCGCAGGTCAGGGCACTGAACACCTCCTTCTGAGCTCTCTCCTCCAGGATCTACTGCAAAACAGTGCCTTCCTTATCCTGGAGAGTCAGCCTTGGCAGGTACCAAATCCAAATGTCTTGAAAGCCACTAAGAGGTTCAGCAGGGGCAAGAGGGACACATCCCCCCTTTCTAATTCCTGACATACAGTAGGTCATCCAGCAAGGTGACCAAATCGCTCTCTGTCCCATAACCAACTCATCACTTATGGCTCTGAAGAGCTGGTAACCTTTACCTTCTTCTCAGACAGATCATGGTCTAGCTCATCCTCGGAATCCTCCTCTTTTTGTTGCTCTTGCTGCATGTCCTTCATTTTAATCAGAAGTTCTGCCTTGGGTGCAGATGTGCTATAGTAAGTAGAACTGGTTGTCAAGGGAATAGCTAGAGGCAAAGGCTGGTCCTCTTTCCTAAGGAAAAGTCAAAAGACAACACTCACTTTTAATTCACTTCTGGGACATTCCAGACATTGAAAGAGAGATTGCAATTTTTCTGAAGTACAACAGGATGCCCATATCTGCTGGGGACTGGTTCCAAGCCCCCGCCCCCGCAGATGCTGAAATCTGGATAATAATGAACCCAGACATTGAAAGAGAGATTGCAATTTTTCTGAAGTACAGCAGGATGCCCATATCTGCTGGGGACTGATTCCAAGCCCCCGCCCCCCGTCAGATGCTGAAATCTGGATAATAATGAACATGAGAGAGAGAGAGAGAGAGAGAGAAGAGAGAGAGAGAGAGAGACAGAGAGAGAGAGAGAGAGAGAGAGAGAGAGAGAGAATAGTAAAAGGAGAAAAAAACCCAGAAAAAATATTTCCAAATAGATTATACACATACAGAACTGGCCCCACTAGAGAGTGCCATACATCATATTATGTATTCTTCATTAACAAATATTCAAGTATTCATAGGATGGCCTTTGTTGCCTTCTAGCGGCTGGTTCTGGTAATACATGTGAAAATATTTTTTCTGGATATTTTGCTTTTAATGTCTTTAATGCTTTCAGACTGTGGAAACCTGAATCAGTGCATACTGATCCCAGGGATAAAGAGCTCCTACTGTACTGTTAGCAGATACATAATAGGGCTAAGGGAAAAGGTTTGCAACCATGAAGATGCTGTAGATCCAATGTCTTGCATGAAATAACAATATGAATTTTGCACTCTAAATAGTGAGAGAGATTGGTGATTAAAAGAATCTGCTGAAATTATCGCCTGACAGTGCTGGTTTCCATCTGGCATACTAAATGATATTTTCTGACAGTATTTAGATTTCCATGCTCTAATCTTAATTATATGGACAATGGTAAAAAGACAATATTTAAATCTCCTGGAGGCTTGCATTAGCCTTGCCTTTATAATCATATAAACACACCTTTTAGTACAAAACATAGCTGCTGATGCTTCATTATCTGTAGTCTAATGCTGAAAAGATCCTATCACTAAATACAACCTTCTCTTAACTTCTGGAAAAGCTACTGCACAAGCATTTAAATGGATAGAGAAAACATATAATTAAGAACACAAATATTGGCAGCTATTTGACACTAAGCAGAATTGCAGCCTTGGCTAATTTACAGCCTGATAATATATATATTTGCAGGGCAATAAGTTCCACCGAAGCTCTGTTCATGTACTTCAAACTGAGTATCATCCAAACATGCAGAAGGGAATGGACATAAGACACTCATAGCTTGACTGTCCTTGTTTTTGTTTCAGTCTAATCATGGAGGCAACAAAAGCAGACAGCATCTGCTATCCATTGAGATCTTCAAAGCAATGTATTTTTTCTAGAGTTCTAAACTGCATGGAGATTTTCCTTAGAATGTTGAGGCTCTCCTCTATAAGCAATCATCTAACATACGTAGCAGATGCTGAAAACTGGAACCAGGATGCAGTGGGGAGACAGTGGAGCTAAATATTTATTCGTAATTGGCTCTTCTCATTTCCCAAATAAATAATAATGCTTAATATAAAAACAGCAAAGTCAGCAAATTGATTCTGGAACATTTCTACAGTCTTGAGCAACTAGAAAAGAACCACAGAAAACTGCAAGTCTCCTAATTTCGAAATTGTTATCAAGAGTATTATTAGATTTCTGAGCATGGTTCCCTGACATCTTTGCTATGTGTTCCCTTTATAGCTGTAATTCCTAGCATGACAGTGGCAATACCCAATGTACCACACTTCAGCTGTATTTCTCTAATGAATACTCAGGATGAAACATTAACTGCCATTCTTGCTAACAGATTTCCAAAGGTCATTTCATATATCCAGACCTGGCAAGATTATAAAAGGTAGGCAGGATAATCTCAAACTGGTTGTTTGATGCTTTGAATAGTGAGAGATCTGCTCTTCTTTCACTCAAAGCTGAAAAAAAATAAACATTTATCTTTGCTGAGCTTGCAAGTCTTAGTTCTCTTGAATTTCTGAAGCTGACGGTTGTATTTATTTCAAAGATCCTGTGTGCTAACTAATAGTATTTTTTTCCTGCACCATTTTCCTTCCACGAGATACCAAACAGAGCTACCTTCTTTCTCCTCTCATATCTGAGGTGTTCGAAACTGATGCCATGTGCTATTAAGACAAAGTAGGCTTTGTGAATAACATAGCTTCATGATTTTTTTTTAAAAAAACTAGGGCTATTCTTTATGCAGATGATCCTTTATTGTTTCTCTCTGAACCCAAGTTTTCCATTCCAGTATTAATAAAGGTGACTGATGTTTTCATAGACTCGCCCAGTTATTCAACGAACTGAGCAAAATGGAGGCTGATGCCAACAGTAGACAGTATAGCCCAGGGTGCTTTAGTGGTGCCCAGATGGCATTACTGAGCTTGGAATATTGCCTCCTAGGAATGTATTGCAGATGACCATGCTGTAGCTCGGACATCCTTGGATTTGGACAGCTGGGCCTTCTTAAACATATACCTTTAGGGTAAATACACTGAAAATTAATATTAATACTTCAGATTATTTATGTTCTTCTTACAACTCTTCTCCCTATACCTTGCAGGTATATCCATAAGCTGAATGTTCTGTTTTGACAATCTCTATATCCATGGGGCCACGAAGAGTCGGACACGACTAAACAACAACAATAGGTTTCTACATTGGCCTGAAATTCTCTGAAGGGAATGAAACTTACATTTAATAAAAGGAAAATGGTTTTCCTGATCTCAGTTTCCTGATTACTAGGCGTAGCTGCTAACCTGTACCAATTATTGGAATGGTTGGGATTGATTCTGCCTGGAGCCCCTCTCTAAATGGATGGCATTAGGATCCACCTATGTTTAAATCAATTCTGTTCCCAAATTATTTTTGTTGTTAGAGAGCTGTAGCTCATAATTCTATCAAAGTTTCAGTTTGTCCCATTTTCACACGATAAATTAAAGCTTTGTTGGTGATCTAGCCCTAAAAAATTGGGAAAATGCATTTTCTATAGATGGTTTCAATTGATAGAGCGATTCTTACTTTGAGAAAATTGTTACAATGATGAGTTTTTGCCATTGTTTTTAAACTTGGGGTATGTATGATTTGTCAACTTTGGAAAACGGCTAACATTTGCTGTTATCTAAATATGGTCCTGCATTTCTAAGCGCCTTAGAGCAGCCATCAACTTTTTTTTGCCATGGCCATAAACACAATATGAGAAAATATAGACCAAATCTGGATTATATAACCAGATTGTGGCCAACCTTCAAATGTCCCGGGGGACCCAGGGGGCCGCATGGCCTCCATTGAGAATGGCTGTCAACTTTCCTCAGATTGAAGAAGCTGCTTGGATGAGTAGCGAAACATTTCAACCTAAGAAGAAAGAAGTCCTGTTGCCATGATTGAACTCCCAGATAGCCACACCTGGATGACTGAGAATCTTCACAGACAGATAGACAGCTGTAGAGTTTTCCTCACTGTATACAAGAAACGAAACCTATAATATTTCTTTAGAATTATCTGTTGTTGGTTAATACACAAAATATGCAATGGCTCAGGGAAAAATAGAACAAGAAATCAGTTCACCGTTTTGCCAAAACAATGAAAGATGGCTTTAGCTTCCATACTTGCTATATTCATGGATCTTCAGCTGCAACTTATTCAATTAAAAACCACACCACACCACTTTTCGAGTATAGAAAAGAATCTATGATTGGACATACCAGAGTATATCCTCATCTGATGCATCTCTTAAAGATATACTCTAGTATCTCCAGTCATAGATACTTTTGGGCAGGGGAGTAATTAATTGTATTAATTCTGTGATGAATTGTTCTCTGAATTTTGTCAATATTTTTGTGTTCTTAAATTATCTGCTCATTTCCTGGAAATTAATTTCTGGCTAATGTGTTCTTATTGGAGCTAAAAGACTTATAATATATAGATACACACACACCTCTTGCTATTTAATGGATTGAGGACTCTGAAATTCTACGAACATATGAACACACAGTATCAGATAATGACTTTGTATTGATATATTTTTCAACATTTACCACCCCCTTTTCAACATCTGACACTTATATATGACCACTTTCATTTTTCTATTGCCCTCTCCATCTGTATATATGTATCTTTTGCTGTCTCGTGTTTTTAACATAAAATGCAATAATTATATTTATATTTAATATCTGTGTGTGCACGTGCATATTTGTCTCTCTTTATACATAGATACATATATCTATATATCTACACTGTAGCTGTATTTGTATCTATATCTATGACCACTATTGCCATATAATATGCATATAACAAGTTCCATACTCAAAAGGGTAGGACCTGTAGCCTAACATATCTGGGAGGCACCAAGTTGGAGAAGATGATATTTAATGAACCTACAAACAACACTTATATATGACCACTTTCATTTTTCTATTGCCCTCTCCATCTGTATATATGTATCTTTTGCTGTCTCGTGTTTTTAACATAAAATGCAATAATTATATTTATATTTATATCTGTGTGTGCGTGTGCATCTGTTTGTCTCTCTCTTTATACATAGATACATATATCTATATATCTACACTGTAGCTGTATTTGTATCTATATCTATGACCACTATTGCCATATAATATGCATATAACAAGTTCCGTACTCAAAAGGGTAGTACCTGTAGCCTAACATACCTGGGAGGCACCAACTTGTATGTACCAACTTGGAGAAGATGATATTTAATGAACCTACAAACATACACCTTGGTACGTACTTGTATTAAAGTTGTCCCTCCTTGTTAAAAAAGAAAAGAGCTGTAAAACAGATTTTGCCTGATATGCTAGCAGAGACTAACCCAGCTACCTCTTCTAAAATGAATTTTAGCTAAGCATGAAACAAAGCAAAAGGAAATATTATCAGTTTATGATTTAAAAACCATAGCGACTCACTTGTCCTCCGAAGCTTTCGGTGAAGGAACTTTTAAAAGAAGTTTCCTGCGCTGCTGAGCTTCTTCCAGGAGATGGTCATCTTTAGGGAAAATTCCCACCATCAAGTCCATTGTAGTTTTTATCTTCACACTTGGGTCCAAGATATCAGCTAGTGATTTGTCCTTATCCACAATCTCTCTCGCTAACTCTTCGGATTTCCAGTCTTCCGCTGTCTTTTCTTTGGCTCTCATATAGCTGACTGTATGGCCAGAAACATCACTAACCTTTACGGTGGTCTCAGGTGCTTCCGCAGGTTGCAGATAAGGTGGCCTGGTTTTGCTCTCAGGCTCCAACTCCACACCTTGCCTTGTGTAAGCACAAAAACGTGAGTAGGACTGCTCAGAAGTGCTAAGTGTCTTAATCTGGTCTTTCTCCAAGCCACTTGGTAGAGCAGGGGGCTCTACTGTGCTCACAAGACTTTGCCTGCTTTCCTTTTCTGCATGGCTCTCAGAATGTACAATCTTGATTGGAACCATTTTTACTGTTGTGTTGTTATCCATCACTTTTTCAATTCTTGAGAAAAGAGAACAATGCAAACTACTAAGAATGGCACATCCTACTTACATGTAAAAGCTCTGTGAATTAACAAAATTGTGTTTTATGTAAATTAAAAAACCCATACAGATGAATATAGGTAGCACATCACATAACAAATCAGAGCTTTTGCCTCTTCTCTTTCAAACATTTATTTCTGTGCAGCTCTACCCCTAAGTATGAGGTGCAAGATGCACAAAGCACTATACTGGCTATGAAGCTTCAGAGATAACACAGATTCCTACAAGAAAACCATACGATTGAACTCAGCAACCCATATCTATTTACTTGGAAGTAATTCCCACTTTGTTCGGTGGAACTCTCTTCCCAATTATTGTGCGGAAGACTATATGGTCTTCTGGGATTTGTGCTGTTTATAAGCATTTCAGTGCTTCAGACAAGTTAAGCCAAGTATGTAAGCATAGATGATGACACCACTGATAAAATGTAGCAGCTATTTCTAAATGGATTTGCAGCTTGTAAATGGCATTACAGAAAACCATACTCCACTTGGTATGTATGTAATGTTGCTAGCTACATTGGTGAAAACCACATGATGCACCATGCTGTTAGTGCAAAATTTCAATGCAGAAACAGGTGAGGTGTTTAATTGACCATTAAGCATATAAAACAAATTAAAAAAACTGTGAACTTTTGATGATAGATCATCTCCTTCAAGGCTGTGCATCAAATTCTTGTGGGTAGTTCCAAACTTATATTCTGTTATTAATGTCTGAAATTCACAAGGCTGACGATGCTGAGGACAGGCTCTTCCCTTTGATGGTGATAGTGCAGTAGGCAAGTAGGTTTCAAGCTGCCCCTTAACTAGCAGTTTGGAATTTATGGCCCATCTCTTAAAATGGAGGTCAGGCAATCTGCTCCCCTCCCTTTTCTGTCTTTTTGAAATTCAAAGAATTTCTTTTTGGCTAGGGGAGGAAAAAATTCCCAGGAGCATGGCCTGCCTCTACGAAAGCTGGAATTAGAAATTTAGTTAAACCACGAGGAACAGTTAACTGAAGCCAAACTGAAGCCAAATAAATAGTTTTACCGGGTAGATACTTTCTTTACAATGCAGTACTGCTTGTTTGGTGTCAAGAATCCATGATGTTCAAGAATTCAAATTGGTTTTCAGTTGATGAACCACATAATCCAAACTGTTAGCTTAGGGGGAAGCTTGAAGCCAACTTGCATACTGCACCATCTCTATCTAAGAAGTGAATCTGGCCTCAACATAATCAAGCCATGTGAACAGCATGTAAGTGGAACTACCCACAAGAACCTGATGCACAGTCTTGAAGAAGATGATTTATCATCGAAAGCTTGCTTTGTTAAAAAAAATCTTTATGGTAAATTAAAGGTAAATTAAATGGTAAATTTATTTAAGACCTTGTTTCTGCATCTGTATTGTTCCCATGACCGTGTGTCCTTTTCCTGATTTTTCCTGCAAAATTTCAGAATCACAAAACTTATGTACACATTTTATTTAAGATTTCTCTTCCACCTTTCTCATCATGTTGAGTATGAGTATGTCAATTGGATCCAGCTGTGATCTCTTATTACAGTTTCTCCTAAATGGACAGTGGTCCCCTTTCCTTGATACTGATGTAAAAAAAAAAGAGAGAAGATAATGGCTGAAATCCTACTGAGCAGCTATGCGTATGCAACACTGATGATGTCATTATTAACAGGAATTTGCTGATAATTAAAGGTGATTTCAGGATGCACACAACTAATACAAAAAGCAACAAAGTTGTGATCATTCCCAAAATAAGCCTCTGAATAGCAGTGATTTGTCACTGCTGTTGATGCCATCACTACTGCGCACACAGAGCTGCACCACAGGATTCCTGCCATTAAATATCCAACAGTAAGTTTACTTTTCATGTCCAATTTAGAATCCAAAGAAATTAATACAGATAGCTTGCTAGCATATATGTTACAATGAACATATGACACATGGTCAGGATTCACATGTGCCTTTGACAATGCTGTACTACCTCTGTGAATTTCTGAAAATTGAGAGTTACTATATACAACTGAATGCTGATCCACATTTAAATGTAATAACAAGAATTCACAAGTGCAGGTCTAGAAAAGTGGTGAGGTAGAAGGCTAAACCTAGTGTCAGCCAGCCAGATACCCCTAATAAAAGAATGCAGACTGAGAGTGCAATCAAAGTAGAATCAAAGAATATTGAAGTGGTAAATGTGCTAGTTCACTGAAAACTCTGCTGACTCATGCTGACAGAATGGAAGGGCTGGCACTGCCCTGAGTTCTGTTCCCCTCTCCAAGTAGTATCGGGTTTTTAAGCCATTATTTTGAAGCTTTTCAGATATTCAAAATTTCTCAAACATTCAAATTGTTCAATACCATACATGGAGAGTATATACAAGCTATGTATGTGTGTAACTGAACAGTCTGACTATCTGAGAAGTAGATCCCCAACGTATGACTAGAGATGGGGGCTTTGTGCTTCACATGAAGTGCTGCTGCCCAGGTGTTCCTAATTCCTCTTCTCCCTCCTCCCAGCCACTTGGTCCACTTACCAGGCTTCCTAGGCAGCTGGGGTCCTTCTGCATCGGCGACGCATCAATCAACTCTATAGCCTGACTGGCCCATCCCTGCCTCCCCAGGCAGCTGACCACTCTGGTGGGGAGATGGGAGGGAAAGTCTCCCCATGCAGCCAAAGAGTAGCTGGCTACCTGGGGATGGGGGGGGCTGGTTGCGCTCCAACGTTGATTGGTGCGTCACTGGTGGAGCCAGGTAAGTGGATCGGGAGACTGGAAGGAGGAGAGAAATTGGACAGAGGTGCTTCATGCTTTGTACGAAGCACAAAGTCTCCTTCTCTACTTATGACAGCTCAGCTTACAACTCCCTTGCTCCATGCCTGCCAGCCTGCAAAACTCACTTTTATTACCTCCACGACCAGCACACTAACATCAGAAATGTGAGAAAAGAGGAAACAGAGAAGGTTGGAGGTAATGGAGTGGAAGAGAATGAACAAGCAAGTGGGTAGGATTGAGGGTGGAAAGGAGAATAGAGACAGGAGAATGGAAGAAGCAAGACAGCAGAAGAGGGATGGGAGATGTGATGATGGCAGAGGTGGATAGAAACAGTAAGCAAGAAAATGGAGGACAGAGGTGGAGGACAGAAGGATGGAACTGAGGCTTGAGAAACATCCAGGAACCAAAACTTTATTTTAACACTGGCCCAATGGTAAAATAGGGTTTCACTTGCAATGCTTTAAAATTCTCACTTGGAACCTATTAAGCTGTAAGTGTAGGGTCTGATGTATCCCACTAGGCAGCTAGGACATCCTGCACAAAAAACAGCAAAATCAGGGGCACTGCCCAGAATCCTATTGCTGATGTTACATAAGGGAAACTGTGTAAATCCTGGTGGCAAAATGCTGCTTGTTAATGAAGTGCTAGTTGCATTCATGGGCATGTGCCTGACTGTGTGACTGAGCCCAGAACAGAATGTGATCAAGCTGTCATTTATGTGAAAGTCTCCCCCAAACTGCTCTCCAGATGCTTTAGCTTACAAGTCTCATCACCTGTGATTTCTGGCTATGTTGTCTGCCTCTATTAGTAGCTGAAGTCTAAATACCTGGAGGGCATTAGGTCGTGGAAAGTGATTTAAAACATCACTGATAAAAGGAGAACAGTTGATGCCTGTGAAATAAACACAGACATACAACCTTGTTGATCAGAAAATCCAAAGTCTAGACTTCCTACATAGATGACATTCTTTCCCCATGTCTCGCACACCCACTCACTGATTTCTTTTAAAAGGCTCTTTTCTTATTGCTATATACCCTGAAGGCAGATAGAGTCAAGCTCTAGTATCTGAAGGCAGATAGAGTCAGCTTTAATACTCTGGATGTGGAAAGACATATAGCGCTTCAATCCTATCTTGTTTAACCGCAACTGTAGATGTACTTTCTTCCAATCTAACTAAAGAGAGGAATACAGAAAACCAAAAAGTATTTAAGATTGTTTAAACAGTATATGAAGATAGGAGGGTATAAGCCCAAGACTAATGAAGATTAAGAATGTCTACACATGAATTATTATTTGTGTGTGTGTGTGTGTGTGTGTGTGTGTGTGTGTGTGTGTGTGTGAGTGAGAGAGAGAGAGAGAGAGAGAGAGAGACAGAGACAGAGACAGAGAGTGAGTGCGTGTGTGTGAGAGAGAGAAAGAAAGAAAAAACACATTGCAATGCCAGATAGTTTCTATATGCTTAACAGCAGGGTTGCACAACTCACTGTCCACCAGCTGCAAACAGTCCTCTGCACAGGTTGTGTAGCGTCATATATTTTTTTCTTTGACTGACCACAGGTTCTAGTACTACAAACTGATGGAGGAGAGATCTCTATCTATTGGTTGTTGTGGGTTTTCCATCTTTGATGCCAGCCACAGAGACTGGTGAAACGTTAGGAAGAAAAACCTTAAGAACACAGCCAAACAACCCGGAAAACCCACAGCAACCACTGGAGCCTGGCTGTGAAAGCCTTCGACAATACATCTCTATCTATTCTCAATAAGAATAACTGTACTTTTGAGTTGGTGACGACCCTTTCCAGGGTTTCTTGGGTATAGAGTACTCTAGACCAGTGTTTCTCAACCTTTTCAAGTTGTGACCCCCTTTTATAATGGCCAAGTAACCTGCAACCCCTTGCTGAATTTCTGCAACCCCACCCCAGTGGTCTTCTCATGAGTTGTTTTTACTGAACTCAGCAGGACTGATTTCTTAGTAAAACTGCACAGGATTGGGCTACTAATTGGCAAGGCTATGAGGCCACACTTGCTCAGGCGTCATTAATCCTCCTCCAGCTTCCACAGGATTTGTTTCTGAGGAAATTACTGTAGTTAGAGAGGGCTTGGAATTCTGCTGCACGTGGAAAAGAGAGGAGGGGACGTGTGTGTCTTTGACTACATATTGTTGCACAATTCAAGATTCTCAGTCTTCCCTCTTTCTTCACTAACAAAGAGTGAGAAAGAAAGAAACACATGCACACAAGCCACAACAGATTCACATGCACATATTACTTCTCTTTACACTCCTGATTTAAAGCAATCCCAGGCTGAGGCGGGTGTTAGGAAACCAGAAGCAAGCAGGATTGGGGGCTTGGAGGGGTGGAGAGAGAGCGCAGTTTGCTCCAAAGACACAACGGGGATGGAAATTGCCTAGTGGACACTGAATAGCACTGCAACATTCCCGTAGCCAACGCCAAAGCTGGACAGCAGGCCAGGGAGTGTAGTGACAGCTTCCACCTTCCGGGGGGGGGGGGGGGG